TGGTTACATTTTGAGTGAAAGTGAACGGTCCCTGTTAATATCATGATTAATCATCTCCTTGTGTATTTTGCACATTTCCTCCGTGCCCAAACTTGTGTATAACTTAGAGCCATGCAAATTGCTCTGGCCAAATCCTGGAACTCATAATGAATTGGGCTAGTTCAGGTAGACCTGGGATTCAGTCAGAGTGGGTTGAAGCAGCCTGGATCTGCTTGGATTCACCTGCTTGCAGCTTCTTCTCCCCTCCACTGCTTGATCACATGTTCAGTTAGAGTTTAAAATCTGAATTAAATGCTATGCAAGTCCCATGATTCAGTTGGGTCCCCTAATCCAAGTCGGTCCACCTTGAGATGCCTGGAATATAAAGGTGGTATATAATTGTAATAAATAAATAAGAATTTATTTCTTATTTATAATAAGAAAGCAGCCCTCCATTAATCTAAACCAGAGGTTGATGGGGAAGATCTCTCTCACAAGGGACACTTTGAAAAGCACAACTATTAATTGTTATCTATCAAGTGCTTGTCTTTTTCACCCAACTGAGAGCAAATTAACACCCCTCCAATTCTTTGGCTATTTGCCCCAAGCCCTTTCTTCTGTTTCTAAGGCAATCATCAATATTTGGCGAGTGGCGAGGAAGTAAGCAGGGAGTAATGAAATCAACAGACCTCCGTAATGAGATCTGTCCTGTACGGCCCTCATCCATTATTGAAAAAAAAACACAACAACAAGGCATACATCAAAAAGTTGCCACACTGCGTCAAGTTCTTCAACCGTGTTCTGTATGATCATTCTTAGAAACAAGGCCTTGTGAGAAAAACGCTGCCTCTCTGTTTAAATTTTCATTCATCTTAATTTCATATTCTGTCAAGGACTGATTTAATCAGGTTCAGAAGGGTATGCATGTAGCTTTTGTGAAATGATAAACTATTCCCAGCTTGGCACATTGAAGATAATCATCTCGGTTTCACTGAGAGGACACCTTCTTTCTATGCCATTCATCACGAACATTAAAACACAGCTATTTTGAGTTTAAATAAACAAGGCCAACTCTTTTTAATATGAAAATTGTCTTTTCGTCATGCACAAAGGTATGTTTCAGAGATCAGCACTTCCTGTTTATATGTTGCCTTGCAACTAAAGGGGTTGCTGTTGTTGTTTTTTTTACCTCTGCTGAAGAAAAAAAAAATCAACTTTTTAACGTCACTTTGTGAAGAAGCAATTTGGTGTAGTGGCTCAAGCACCAGACTGTAGGGACAACCCAGGATCAAACTCCTCCTTATCCATTAAGCACAGTGTGTAAGCTTGGGCAAGACATGCTCAGCCTACCGCAAAGGATCATTGTGAGGAAGAGGGGACTATATATCCCTTCCCCCAAAAAACTATGTGAAACAACAGTAGGATTATTGCTATTCCTACTCCTACATAAGGGATGCGGGTGGTGCTGTGGGTTAAACCACAGAGCCTAGGACTTGCTGATCAGAAGGTCGGCGGTTCGAATCCCTGCGATGGGGTGAGCTCCCATTGCTCGGTCCCTGCTCCTGCCCACCTAGCAGTTCGAAAGCATGTCAAAGTGCAAGTAGATAGATAGGTACCACTCTGGCGGGAAGGTAAACGGCGTTTCCATGTGCTGCTCTGGTTTACCAGAAGTGGCTTAGTCATGCTGGCCGCATGACCCGGAAGCTGTCTGCGGACAAACGCCGGGTCCCTCGGCCTATAGAGCGAGATGAGCGCACAACCCCAGAGTCACTCACGACTGGACCTAATGGTCAGGTGTCCCTTTACTTTACCTTTACTCCTACATAGGAGTCTCCACATTGGAAAGCCGTGTTTGCTCTGCTACTTCCACCCCAACACTGCCGTCGCCACTCTTCCCCACCCACAGAGTCTCTCTCTGCTTTCCTCCTAGTGTTTATGAAGTTTACTATAAAACCCTCTATAAAGGAAGGGCACTGAAGACAAAAGGGATGAGTAAGAAGCTAGTCTACATTCCACAACAAACAGAATCACACATACTGGGCCATTTTATAAGTGCCTGAAACAAATTAAAGGTGTTATGAAGATCAGAGCTATCGCTTTTCACTCAGCAATTCACCCATATCCAGGGACATTAAGATGTGCCCGCTCTCTGTTTTGCTCATGTTTCGATTGCGTCTATTCCTGTCACTTTGATTGAAACAGGCAACTGACCTCATTATCCCGGTGATCACCAGGGTGCATATCGCAGCTTGCATAGCGCACAGCAGTGCCTATGTCAGCGCATGTCTCCAATTTGACGGCTACAAGATGGGGTCACCTTCCTTGCATTCCCATCCTCTTTCCTTCAGGATGTAGGCCTTCCTAATTAAGCCAATAGCAAACTTATCAGTGAGGCGGTGTGAGCAGGTGGGGTGGCCACGTGGCCTACTTTGCAGAATACAGCTCTCTATTTGTGGGCGGTCAGAGGACAGTCCGGAATCCTCTGTTTTGAAGGGCTATCCTAATTCTGGCTTAAATAACGAAAAGAATGGAAGTGGCACATCAAGTGTGAGCACCTGGACAGCAGACTGAGCAGGCACACAAATCACTTGGTCCCACTATAGTGAGGGGTACTACATAATGTAACTGCATAATTGCATAGTTGTTTAACTATGCATAGTTGTTTAACTTATAGCCTTCTACATTTGCATTTAGACATCTAAACTAGCTCATGTCAATCTGTGCCCCTTTGGTGTCCTCTAATAGTGACGTATTTCCCAGCATGTTTGCACTCCAGTCTCAGTGATGTCTACAATGGCTCGGTCGTGTTCACAGAATGGAATGGCAGGATTCCCTATACAGTGGTACCTTGGTTCTCAAACGCCTCGGTTCCCAAACACTGAAAACCCGGAAGTAAGTGTTCTGGTTTTCAAACGTTTTTCAGAAGTTGAACATCAGATGCGGCTTTCGGCTATTGTTTCTGGGAGGCCTGCATCAATCAGAAGCCGTGCCTTGGTTTCCGAACATTTCAGAAGTCAAATGGACTTCTGGAATGGATTAAGTTTGAGAACCAAGGCACCACTGTATTTGGCACTTTTGTTTTTGTGTTTTGTGTTTTTGTTTTTGAGGCTTTTTTGGTTAATTTGTTTTTGTGACTGTGTGGAACCCAGTTCAGCTACTGATTGATTGATTGACTGCGGAAATGGATAAAAGCCCCCCATCCAAACAATGACTATCATCAGTGCAAGTAAGAAAAAAAATTAAAAAAATATTTTTATCATCTACAATACTGTCTTATTTATTTTATAGTACAGTACATTGATTGTTGCTTTCATTTTATGGATCAATGGTCTCGTTAGAGAACAAAATTCATGTTAAACTGCTGTTTTAGGGGTTGTTTTTTAAAGTCTGGAATGGATTAATCCATTTTGCATTACTTTCTATGGGAAAGTGTGCCTTGGTTTTGGAACACTTTGGTTTTGGAACGGACTTCCGGAATGAATTAAGTTTGAGAACCAAGGTACCACTGTACAGATTACTACATATTCCTGGTTTGTACAAGGATGTGCTCTATACAGGGAGCTGGTTTCCAGCACCAGGCCAATTGGCAGACCACACTCTGCATGACAAAGATGTCTGCAAACATGGCATGAAGACTGGCAACAACTACCCCACCATGTGGGAGTCCCTTGCTGATAACTGCAGTGCCTGGAGACAGGCAGTCAACTTGTGTATCCATAGCAGTGACTGTTATGTATCAAGATTGGCTGCAGTTCTCATTCAGGGCCACCAGTATGCAAATGAAGGATTGAGAACTTTTGCTCACTGTTTGGTTAGCTAGTTGGGAATTGTTACTGTTACAAGTTACTTAGTATTATATAAAGCAGCCTGCTAGGCTGCAGTGAGTCTGACTCCAGGAGCAGTTCTAACTGATAAATAGCTAATAAATAGCTGTGAATCTAACAGAGCTGTGTCCTTTGTCCATCTTTCCCACTACAGTGGTACCTCTGGTTATGTACTTAATTCGTTCCGGAGGTCCGTTCTTAACCTGAAACTGTTCTTAACCTGAAGCACCACTTTAGATAATGGGGCCTCCCGCTGCTGCTGTGCCGCTGCAGCACGATTTCTGTTCTCATCCTGAAACAAAGTTCTTAACCCGAGGTAATATTTCCAGGTTAGCAGAGTCTGTAACCTGAAGCGTATGTAACCTGAGGTACCACTGTATTTAACAGTGACTAGAGGGGAAACGACTGTTGGAGGAGTGCAGAGAGAAGAAACGCCATGGTGTATCTGCAGCATCACAACCAGACACCTTTGTTTGCCCCGGCTGCAACAAAATATGTTTCTCCTGCATCGGTCTCTACAAACACATCAGGCACTGCCAACAGTTTGACCTCACCCCCAAAGGTGCACTCCTCCACTGTCTGCTGAGACAGACGTGTGCCAACTGCAACTGCAAAATGGCCACCGGTATGGGCATTCCTAGGAGGGCACCCACCAAATGAGTGTGTGTGGCAGGACCAACAAGTGTACCAGTGAAAAGGGAGCACCGCAAGCAGGTGGTTGTTAACATGTGGGGATGTGTGCAACTGTGTTGCACTCATAGCTTTGGCCAAGGGAAGCTTTGGTGTTCCCAGGGGACATCACTGGCTGAAGAAACATTTTGACAATACTCCTATGTTCTCCTGACAGTCCTTTGGATATTCGAAACCAAGTGTTATTGAAATATACTCGGAGTCAAGAGTGGATTTCATGCTCTTTATTCAGCTCATAGTGGTGAGGAGGAATGGAAGTTCCCCCACAATATCTGCTTTACATACATTATTTACACAGTGGGCTGCACGTGATTGGCTAATTCCGGGATTCTCCTTTAGGCCAATCAGGTTGTGGATTCACTTCCACCTGGAGCTGGATTGGGTGGCTCCTGCAGACCAATCATACTGCTGCATTGTTCTAGGACCAATCAGACTGCTGCATTTTGGATCCTGTTCAACTCAGTACATAACAGTTATGAAAATCTGCACCTGCAAACTTTGGTAGAAGGGCCAAAGCTCAGTGGTAGAGCATCTTCTTTCCATGTAGAAGGTCCCAGGTTCAACCCCTGTCATCTCCAGGTAGGACTGGGATAGACTCCTGTCTGAACCCCTGGTGAGCCTTGGCCAGTTAGTGTAGGCCAGCCTTCACTAACCTGGTGCCCCCTAGATGTTTGTCAGTAGACAATACTGAGCTAGATGGACCATTGGAAGTTCACTTCCTATGTTCCTAGGACTGTTCCAGGGAGAAAGTGTAAGAGTTTCAAAAAAGATTCTGGGAACTCAATTTTTTAATGCACGTGCGCCATTCAGAATTGACGCACTACTTGTGAGTGTTTTATTCCCAGGTATCCAGATCCAAGTGCAAAATGTAAAGTGTTAATAGACTGCTACGTAGATGATCTAAATTTGCAGCAATAATAAGCACACAGCTGCTGATGACTTTGACCTCAGATTCTTCAAGCCAGGCCAAAGGCATCCTGATACATCCTTGACCTTTCTCAATCTCTCCCTCTCTCTCCCTCTCTCTCATTATAGATTGCAACTTGAATCTTAAGGAGTCGTGTTCAGCTTTAAGAAGGCCACAGTGGCACCTGTTCGCAAGTTGTGAGAAAGTCTTGGAAAGTTGACAATTAGCACCCTATTTTTGTTACCTTCTCACTGGTTAGTATTCACAGCCGGTGGTGGTGGACCTGATTACATGAGCAACTGCTAGGATCCCTCTCTCTCTCTCTCTCTCTCTCTCTCTCTCTCTCTCACACACACACACACACACACACTCATCTAAACGCTGATCCAGTTTTGGAGCGTTTTCCCACTTTGCCAGTTTGAAGCAGCAGTTTTGAAATTGCTGAGTGTGCTGCTAACCTTGAACAAGTGAAATAATCACAGTAACTTCTATCTTACAGTTGATCTTGTGCATTTGGCTGTGCCAGCTAAACCACTATGGATAAAAATGGAGCCAAGAGCAATTTCTATGTAATTCAGCTGCGCAATAATGGGCTATTTTTCATTTTCTGTTGGATTAAATTCTATTGCTGCCCAGTGTTAATGTATACATATTCAAATATGCTCCCAGCTTTCAAATAAGTATGCAAGCGAGGTTTGCAAAAATATCTGTTATCTAAATATTCTTACAAACCCAAGTTTATTATTTTTATAGGGGTTTTGTAGGACTGTCCTATGCAGGTGTCCTCACAGTACATTGCATTGTGTTCATAGGGTGGGGTACAAATTCAATCAATCAATCAATGGTCCACAAAATGTGTGTATGCATTATGTCTGGGGAGATTGCTTTGGGAAAATGTGTATGTTGGGCTAATTGCATACAAATGTCTGCATATTATGACTTTTCAAGAGGACTTTTCAAAAAATTGTTTTTATTAAAGTTTTTCTTGGGTCACAAAAGTACTTACATCATCTTTATTTTCAGGTCATAAGCATTTCCACCAACACAGTGACAAGTAAAATTAGTTGAAGACTGACTTTTTAAAAATATATAATTTTTATTAATTTTTCTGTTTTACAATTTAGAATACCCATTTAAACATCCTTAAAATATCAAACACGTCTCTTCCTCTCTATCCATGGTTCATTTTGCATATCATATATCCCTGCATATTTTAGGTAAACTAAACCATTCAGTATTCCATTAATACATCCATCAAAACTTATTTACACTGATGAATTTTTCTTAATGCTGCCAATGTTTTCAAGTGTACAAAAATTCCCACCGTATATTCAATAAACATTTTCCAATCTTCTCTAAACATATGCTCTTCTTGTTCTCTTATTTTATGCGTTAAGTCCACGAGCTGCACATATCCCATCAGCTTAAGTTGCCATTCTTTTTTAATTGGGACCTCACTCATTTTCCATTTTTGGGCTAACAAAACACAGGCCACAGTAAAGGTAAAGGTACCCCTGACCGTTAGGTCCAGTCACGGACAACTCTGGGGTTGCAGGCTCATCTCGCTCTGTAGGCTGATGGAGCCGGCATTTGTCTGCAGACAGCTTCTGGGTCATGTGGCCAGCATGACTAAGCAGCTTCTGGCGAACCAGAGCAGTGCATGGAAACGCAGTTTACCTTCCCACCAAAGTGGTACCTATTTATCTACTTGCACTTGACGTGCTTTTGAACTGCTAGGTGGGAAGGAGCTGGGACCGAGCAACAGGAGCTCACCCCGCCGTGCGGACTCAAACTGCCGACCTTGCGATTGGCAAGCCCTAGGCTCTGTGGTTTAGATCACAGCGCCACCTGTGTCCCACAGGCCACAGTAGTGACATACAAATTTTTTTTGACACCTGGGAATTTGCATCTGAATTATCCCCAACAGAAAGCACTCTGGGTTTTTTGGGGGGGAGGGGGGAAGTACTTTTGAACATATTTTTCAAATCCTTATGGATTATTTCCCAATTTTTTTTTACCCTTTTACAAGTCCACCACATGTGAAAGAAGACTGACTTGCACTCAAGAAATATTATTCACTCATCCTGGTGCCAGTGTGTGAGGAAGAAGGCATATTTGGAAACCTGCCCTATGGGAATAAAAATGACTGTGGTGCTGTTCATTAAATAGCAAGCCTGGAATGAATTTGGAGGCATCATGTGTTGCAATACCAACAAAGTTTCCGGAGTTGTTTTCTCTATTTTTCTGTTTCACTTTTGTTGTGATATAGCACAAGAGTGCCTCTCCAGATGGCAATAATGTGATAAAACTAGGAAAGCATCACAGAACAACTAACAAAACCGAATGAAGTGTGGACAGTCCAGTGTAAATCTACCAGTAACACATTATTTTGCATCAACGACATGCTGCAGAGTATACTAGCCCCAATTGTCTTTTGTAAGCTGATTTGGGTGGCCTTTGCCCTGAAAGTAGAGGTGATAGGTACTTTGGAAAGCCTATGAATAGGAGGGGTTCTGTTTTGTGAAGCAGAAGCTACAGACTGGCAGGCGACTTGGACAAAATGACTCTTCCAGTCAGCATCAGCAGAAATAAGAAAAATCTTTTAAAATTAGCACACAGGTGGCATTTATATTCCCTCAGACTCCCAAGTGTTGGAGAGACTGTGGGGAAGTTGTTTCTTCCTATGGCATGTGATGAGGTTGTGGTAAAATAAAATAATTTTTAATTTTAAGAATGCTTATGAAAAAACCATGGGTATATTTTGTTGCAAAGTGCTGTATATCAGTATTTTAATACAGGTAAAGGTAAAAATAAAGGACCCCTAGATGGTTAAGTCCAGTCAAAGGTGACTATGCAGTGCAGTGCTTGTCTAGCTTTTCAGGCTGAGGGAGCTGGAGTTTGTCCGCAGACAGCTTTCTGGGTCATGTGGCCAGCATGACTAAACCACTTCTGGCACAACAGAACACCGTGACGGAAGCCAGAGCGCACAGAAATGCCATTTACCTTCCCGCCACAGTGGTAGCTATTTATCTACTTGCACTGGTGTGCTTTCAAACTACTAGGTTGGCAGGAGCTGGGACAGAGCAATGGGAGCTCACTGCATCGTGCAGATTCAAACCGCCGACCTTCCGATCGGCAAGCCCAAGAGGCTCAGTGGTTTAGACCACAGTACCACCCATGTCCCCTCTTTTAATGCAAGCCCCATTTGCAGTATACATTTAAAGCAGTGTCATACCCCCCCAAATATGTCTTCCCTCAAAGAATCATGGGGGCTGTAGTTTGTTAAGCGTGTTAGGAGACCCCTATTCCCCTTACAGAGCTATAATTCCCAGAATTCCCTGGGAAGAGGGATTGATGTTAGTCCGCTCTGAAATATCCTGGAAGTGGAAGGGAATGGCATCCTAGAAAAATATCCTGGCTGCCTACACCCTGAACAGGAGCACTCAACTCTGCACCATTTTGCTTCAGGTCCCCCTTGTTCCAAAATACTGCTATTCTGACACTTGTGTTTATTGATCTCATAAATTGCACTTCGTCTGACCTGGCAAGAAGACGCCGTTCTCAGCATGCACTGTGAAGTAACTGCACAGGCCTCTCTCAACCTCAGGCATATTCTCCTCTCCATCTGTCAGCTGCTGCAGTAAACAAAAGATCCAAATTCATTAACCTTCTTCCAAACTATCTATCTGGGTTCACTCTTGAAAAGTACAGAAAGAACTATAAACACAAGTGTCTCCGATTTTTAACAACTCTGTAGTTTCCCTTCCCACTTTGGAGCTGCAGAAGTATGCCGTCTTGATTTGCATAGCCTGTATTACTGAAATGAAAATAGGAGAATTAAAACAACAACAACAAATCAATAAGAGGCTAAATCACCTAGCAAGAGTGGGAACAGTAATTAGTGATGCTCTGATTCAGAGTCAGGGCTAACACCTGTTTAATTCCAAGCAAACATCTCAGCATTAATCTGAGCTGTGGCATATCAATCGATTGCCTGTTTGTTTCTTGTTAACTGCCAACCACAATGAATGATTCATTATATCCAGGTTGCATTAATGGCTGCAGGTCTCTCCATGCTCAATAATACCCTGAAGCACAGAGTTATTGTCACCTTGACAAAGTCATCATAAGTGCATCCCGTTGGTGATCACGTGGGTTGGAATGAACGCTTTAGCAATGGATGGCTCAACACTGCAGACTGGAAATCCAACTGTTCGCGCTTAATAGGAGTTTGTGAGACAGGGTTACTGTTGAATTTAAGGCAAGTGAGGGCAAGTAAAGAATGAAGGCAGTGTGAATCAAGCAAGGAGCAAATCCATGAACTGGCTCTGAGAAGTGCCATTCCTTTCCATTATTGTGAGAGGTTGGATAATGTGCTTAATATAGAACTGAGGTCATCTTCTCAATGAGCCTTGGAAGAAGGCACTTAGTGACTCAGATTTTTGAACTCCAAGATGTGGCTGGTATGCACTGCAATGCCTTGAAAATCATGCTATCTTAGAACATAGTTCAACTACCAGCAAACAGTGGGAGGGAATGGCGGATGTTAATTAGACTGGAAGCATGATGGATAGATTTTGCATTCACTTCCTTTTGCAAATGTTTCCTGATGATAACATATCAGTAATTTATGATGTATTATGACAAACTTTGGCAAAAGTATCTATTTGG